CAGGAATCTGCAATTACACATCGTAATAAAATGCTATAACTCTGAGAGCAAACAATGAACCCGAAATTTTTGTACAGTGTAAACTTTGCTGCAAAAAATAGTTTGAGAGATTATCAAAAGCAAACACTATCAGTGCTTACAACTGAATATGCTTTGCACAGTAATTTACCGCAAAAAAGTATGATGATTTTGGTTCATCGGAATTTGCCTATGGTTTGTTTGCAGTGGAAGATATTACTCAAATGAGAAATGATATTGAAGCGTATGATGATAAATTTGTGGATCCAGGAGAAGGCAAGTTCCCCTGCTGTTTGTTATCATCAATTAAAATTTCTTTGATTTGATAGTCGTAATTGTAACTGACTAAATATTGACTTGATTATGTAGATAAAAAATATATTTCATATCGCCAATTTGCCTCCCCTTTGATCCAAAAAAAAACAACAAAAAAATCGTTTTTAATGAGAAATTCGTTCTAAAAAAATTTTCATTTTTACGCGTTTTGTGCTGTATAACAACCGTACAGAAATCGTGTTGTCACGGGATTGTCTGTATGTGTGTGTGTCCCACATTTTGTCCTTCAATTTCAATTCGGGAACCACAAAAGCTAGGCGGCTGAAATTTTAGTATAGTGTTCCCCGCCAACGTGCGACGCGGCAAATTTAAATTCAGCCTTTCCGTACCCGCGGGCAACACATACGGCCCCGTAAAAGTTTTGACGGGTAAAATTATTATCATGAGAACCACGTAAGCTAGAAGGCTGAAATTTTGTGGGATGTACCCTGCGCCTGTGCTATCCAGAAAATTTAAATTCAGCTTTCCCCCGCCCGTGGGTAACATGTACAGCCCCGTGAAAATTTTTGACGGGTAAATTATTACCCCAGGAACCTCGGAGTCTAGGAAATTCAAATTTTAGAAGGGATGTGATCCCCTGCCTCTGCCTTGTGAAGATTTGGCGGGTAAACTATTATTTCGGGAATTATAGGTAAGCAGTGAAAATTATTAATGGTGCAACCTCTCCAATGGGCAACCTCTCCAATTATTAATGGGCAACCTAATGGGCAACCTCTCCAAACCTCCCCCAATCCTCAAACCTCCCCCAATCCCCAAACCTCTCCAAACC